ACAGCAGCGAGAGAAGCGCGCGAAGGGAGATCGAGAGCGAGAGAGGGAGCGTGAGCGAGAGGAAGAGTCCGTTGAATCCCTTCCCTCGGTTCTTTTAACGTCGCAAGGAATAGATCATGGGGCGAAATGATTCGGGAGTGGCTTCGACGTGCAAACGACGTGGGGATGGCAGAGCAGGTATACGACACTTTCTCCTTTTTTTATATATTACAGGTCAACACCTCTAGATTTTCTTACACCACCTTCTTATCGAAGTCACTTCATGCCAATATCTGTTTTTGGCCACCCCATTGCCATGTTGTTGTAGCACGCCAACCACCCGTTTGGCATTGGTTATCTTGGTGGTGTTGTCTCCTCTAAAGCTTTTTGTACTGTAGTGTTGTTTCTTTGACGTTAATCTTCTTCTAAGCTTGGTGCTAGGCATTGGCATCAAGATCTCTACTCTTTTGCCTTATATGGTGATAGTGCATCTTTCTAAAATTAATTACCAATTGTTCTCGTCTAATCATTCATTATTTTACCATTCTCTAATTCCTTAGAGAATAGATCTTTGTGGTCCATTTGATCCTCTCTACTGGTTTATTCTGTTCTTTCTTCAACCTTAGCGGCTCCCTTGCGTCTACCTTTACACCTGCTATATTGAATTGAAAATATATTTAAGGCGATTTAGTGTATGTGGGATTTCATTATTTCATTCGAAACTCCGATGAGTAATATGATTATATTATCTGTGGAGGTTGATGTCGTATATGCTTCCTAGAGCTTTTTTCTAGTGTGTTACTATGTTGTTAAAAGGACATATTCAATGGTTTTGTTCTCTACAATAAGAAATCTTTGAAAAAATAAAAAATTAATGTTGATGTTTTTCCTATGATTGATGGTTCTTTCTTTTTAACTTCTAATCTCTTATGATCTGCGATTTGTTTGAATTACTGGCTCTTAATTATCTCTGGGAAGCCTTTGATTTTGCATAAATGTTTGAGAGATTTTGTCTGTTATGGAGAAACATCACTCTATTCATTTTTTTCGATCAAATTGTGGAGCTTACCTCAAAGTTGTTGGACGCCGAATGAAGGTAAAGTTGTTGGACGCTGAATGATGTCTTTGAAACTGATAGCTTTGTTGGGAAACCTATAATAATTGATAACCTTTGTGACTGTGTGATTTTATGCTTTCCTCTTCTCTAACTAACAAGATTATCCAAAATTTGGTGGTTTTGCGTTGGGAACAAGAGTAGGTTTATAATAAGGAAACATTCATCTTGTACAACTTCCATTTTTTTCCCCTTCACTCACCAATTTGCCTAATCTCTCTACCAACAGTGCCACTGCTACCAACAATGCCACTACTATTATTGCTGCTCAGTGTGGAGGAGTCCTAGATTGAGGAATAGAATGGTTGTTGCTCTACCTCCCTCTCTTGACCTCCAACCTATTACAGTTTAGATCAAGTTTGATATACTGCCCAACATTGTATGTGTCCAGCAATCCCATGCCAACACTATTCCCTTCTGCAAAAACCATTGATTCGAGTGTTGATATGCCCAGTAAAAACTGCTAATGCCTACCTCCAATCATCAGAGTATTGAAACATCTATTTTGTTGGAGAATGTTTTGGAGTTCTTGGGTTGGTGAATCTTTGGTAGATGAAGATGGTTTTAATAAGGTGGGTTATAAGAAGGATTATAAAAAAGTAGCAGCCTTTGGTGTCATTGTGGCTCCTGTTGATTCCTCCATTGTTTAGGTGGGTTCTGTGTTTATTTCATCCAACATGCAGGGAAAAAAAAAACATGAAGGTGGCTAATTCTATTGATTATCCTTCAAGCAAAAGCTTATGTATTCTGGATGTGAGAGTAAGGTTGAGGCACTTTTAGTTGGTCGTCTTGTTTATGGTTTGAGGTAATCGAAGAATTGGAGGTGGCTTCCCCCCTTTTTCGGTTCACTAATGTTGAAAGCTAATTATACCGAATTGAATAATTATTCTTTTGTCTATTTTGGGTCTTTGTGTTGGGATGTCGAATCCTTTTATCTTGTAAACCTATGCCTTTGTACTACAATTGAAAATTTTCTATTAATTAAAAAAAAAAATCAAGCCTCGACACTTGTAGAGGAGCATCTTCATATTTATAGGATTAATAATAACTGAAAAGAACACAACATAACATGACCAAACGAAAACTTTGATCATTTTGATCATTGGCTGAGAATATCATGTAGTGATAGTACGCATTCCTTGGTTCTAAGAATGTGTTCGGCATTGCTATTGTGTGACAGTCTCTTTGCTTAAGAGTTTACTGGGTGATATGATGCATATGTACCATTTGATGTGAGGTGATGATGGAAAAGAAAATATTTATGTAGGTTTTGGTATTGTGTCTTGGAATCTCTCTATGGATGAAGATGTGGTAGCTTCACCCTTATAGGGTTCTCATAAATCTCACCTTAGTAAAAGAAATTTTCACTTTGTAGAATTACAAAATGATTGTAACTTAAATCTAAACTTTTCACTCAGTCATTAAGTGGCTGTGAAGTTTATAGATAACTTCAGTTTAATAAATCCATAATGTTATAGACATAATCATGATCACACTTGAATAGAAATAAAACAAAATATAAACTATGTTGACATGTAACCCATGATCGGACCAGCCCCCACTCACCCACAATCCCATTACCCAAGTTCGCTCCTAAAGGCACAAAAACTCCCTCACACGGCAAGATCTAGACCCCTCAAGCATTCGAACTCTCATCTCTCTCTCTCTCTCCCTATTTCTATCGCACGCACGAAATGACCTTGCCGACCGTTCGTCACCTCTCACTCGATTTTCTTTTGACCTCAATCAACGCTGATGTCGACCTTCTGTTCACACCAGTAATCAAAACCCCTAGCCAGCCCGTCCGACCAACCAGCCAATCCTTGTAGATCCTAACCCTAGGCACACGATTATTCTCCTATTCGCACTGCTCGGCCAATCCCAGCCAGATACGGATCACTGAAAACCAATTCCAGGGTCGTTATTCCTCTGTAGCCCTCGACCTTTGAATATATGTCCAACCGAATGGATTTGAAAGGGCAAGTGCCCTCCCAACCTCCTCTTGCAAGGAGGGGGCATGGAAAGGTTGCCAGATTTTCAAGGGAGACAAAAATGTGTGTTTTACATTAAAATTAGCAGGCCACGCTCAATTGAAAGACTAGAAGACCGATTTTGGAGTCAATTATTCCCTCGAAGCCCTCAGCCATTGAATATTTGTTCGACGGGGCTTATTTGAAAGAGCAAGTACCCTCCCAATCTCCTTTCGCAAGGAGGGGACGTCAGGAGGTTGCCGGATTTTCAGCTGAACGATAATTAGACCTAGAAATTCAAAATTGACCTGAACAATTAAAAATACAATAAATACATATCGAATTTAATTGAAATTTGTGAAATTTAAATGAGGCAATAGCAAGGAACCTAGAACAAGTATGATATCTTGTTTGTGGAGGGTAAAAGTGGATTTGGAAAGAACACATGCATTACCCACGGGCATGAATAAGAGGTTCTTTATATAAGTAGTCCGTTTGCATGCAAGGATAGACAACCTATATAACACTATAATTCACTTGTGAGTAGATAGTGCCCATAATGAATATCTTATGGACGTAGACATGGAGCTCATATCAAACAAGCCAGCCTGTCTAAGGAATAATAGTAGGGAGCTTCTAATGGATGCTACAATCTACCTGTGAGCAAGAGCAGGGTATTAGTAGTGCACACAACTAGTCCGTAAACAACAATAGAAGATTCATAGCAAATGGTGTAACTCACAAGCAAAATCATGATCTCCTTTTGCCTATTGAATAAACATTCTCTAAACGCCACCGAAATGGGTTTAGAGGTCGAAACCTACCAGTTGTGATTTCGGTGATCTACCTACCGTTTTAGTTGGTGTTTGGACATTACATGAAGGATATCCTTAACATTTTGATATTTTGCAAGTTTATCTTTAAAATTGATAGAAATCCATCACACGCCATTTATCAGTAGAGTTTCAATAAACTATGTTAATCTAAAAGTTTACTTGCAATGCATTTCCATTTTCAACTTGGTGTTTAACTTTGCTTTTCAAGATTAAAATGAAATTGCAATCTACAAGCATCCTTCAAGATTTAGTGTTTAACTTTGCTTCATATAACCTTTTTAATTGATGTTTTAGCTACGCCTTTCTTTTGATACTGAACTTTGTTGGTATTAATCCTGTCTCTAACTTGGTGTATGGTTCATTTAATGTGTTGGTAAAAGAATATGCCCTTTTCTTTCTGCTTTCTGGTTCTCCAAAAGAATATATTTTTTCAATTTTTAATTTTTCTGCTAGCTTCATCTTCATGCTGTGTTTATGATTATCTCTACTGATAAAATATTATTTCTTAATTAATACTGAGAAACTCAATACTCCAATTTGTGGTTATTAGCACCGAATAGCGCGACATGAAGCCATGCGGTAATCAATAGAGGATCAAAGAAAAGCTTGCGACGCTTTAAAAATTGAGGAATTTATTTGCTTCAAAATATAGTTAATGTTTATATCAGGCCTCCTTTGATTAGGCTTAATTTCTCCATTCTCAGTTTGAATACGCCAAAATCAGTTATTCTTAGCAGTTTGGAATCAAAACTTAATCATAATTCCTTTTCAGTAAACTTTGTTTTTTCATTGGTTACGAAATTCTTTTCCTATTTTCTTATGCTTTCAAGTATTAATAAACACTTAAAAAATATTATTCAAATAACATATCATTATTGAAATTTCATTTTATTAAACTTCTTTTTCTCAACATCCAAAACTCCTTTTTATGTAAGCAAAAATTGAACCAAATGAGACCTCAAGCTTAACTCCTGAGATTTTTCTTTCTTTTTCTTTTAATCTGTAAATTTGGTAGTGCTTTCTTACAATGTAGTCCTAAATGTTTGGAACTCAATTTCTTTTAATACACTGAGCAATTTCATCCTCCCAATCAACTATCAGAGGCCAGATGGGTTTATCAGTAGATGAACAAAAAAAAGCTCAGAGCATTAGGCGCCAGCCAAATATTGCAATTGTGGAGAATAGAGCCTCAGGCTGTTGCCAAGGCAATGGTAACCTCAGCTGTTGCCAGAATGCCACAATTATGGCTAAACCAGACGCCAATCACACCACCGGTGGAAACGACAACGAAAACAACCCTAGCAGCAGCAGCATAAGCAACAGTAAAAGCGTCAGTCAAAGCGAGAATTTGATATCCACATGGCTCAAGCAACCAGTGCGAGATACCTACGCCGCCCTCGCCATTGTTGCTGCCATTGCTTCTGTTGCTGGTGCTTATTTGTACTATAGGAACTGAAGGTGATGATCAGATCAGGCTTTCTTCTATATCGACAGCCATGAACTTTTGTGCATGCCAATGCCTATAGGGCTGGGCCAAGATTGATACATTTTTATTTCTTTATTGTCATAGAATATTTACATCCGACATAGAAGTTATACTACTTGGATTCTTAAGAAGTTGTTAAGTCATATAGGCTTCATAAATAATGGTTGTGTTGTATCCTTGTTGTTAATCTCTCAGTTATGAGAAGGATGCTTGGCAAATGTAGTGCTTGTGATCATGGAGCTTTATGTATTAGGTGTACTTTTATGTTTTTGAGTTTTGAATAGTAGATGAATTTTGAATTATGATAAAAAAAAAAAATTCTTAAGATCTATTATGAGCATTATAATTTTCTTGAAGTTGAAAAATACTTTTTTTATATATTTATCATATTTTTTTATAAATTTAATTGAAAAAAGTTGTTTCGCATTAAGAAAAAAAAAATTCTACAATTCAACCTAGTTTGATTGGATGTTTTTTTTGCTTATTTCTTTTTAAAACGGTAAATTTAATGTTTGGTTCCTCAAATCACGTTCTCAATAACACATATTTTTCTTTTTTCTGCTGTTTTAAGAAAGCTTATAAAACTTCTTTTTCTAAATCGGTGTTTCTTAAAACTATTTTTTATAATCAAATGAAGACTAAAATAGCATCATGGCAATTTTTTTAGAAAATGAAACTGCAAAAAAAAAAAAAGTCTAATGGAATTCTTTTATTGGTTTGATGCAGCTTCTCATGAAATGCATAGTTTTTTTGGCGCCAGGGCCATGAGATCAAAAAGATATTGAAGCCACTGAATTACACACAGTTTGGATCAGGCTTGGTTCACATAAACGTAAAAGAAAGGCTGGAAGTAGAACTAAGAGGAAGTTCTTTACAGCATCTAGCTTTGGTGTGCATGCCATGGGGCTGTAATTGCTCTTGGAGGGGGAGGCCTCGGGTGTCGTAGACAATCGACGAGCCGAAGAACGAACGAGAAGATGGGTCGACACCATACGACAACGATGCCGATCTGACCGATAATTCCGCCGGCGAAGGCTGCAATTGCCATAGGCTCCATGTCCCAATTGAAGCAGCTAAAGGGGAAGTGAATGAGTTTGGCAATGTAGGTTCAGGTTTGGTCATTTTATAGCTAAGGTGAGGCCTTTGGATTTGATCTGTGAGGCGTTTGAGGTTCACAATTAAAGGGGAAGATGAAACGGCTGTTAATGGAACTGCTGTTTTCTTCTGAAGAGCATTTGGTTTTGTTAAGTAGCAGGGAGAGTTTGAACCTGTTTCTCTTCGCTAACCGCTGCTTGTTTCTTGCTCCAGATCCGTTTCACGTGAGGGTAAACTCTTTTGGCTTTTTGTATTTTGCTTTGATTGTTTGGAGAAATTATTCTGTGTGGACACTGAATCGTCCAGAGGCAAATCAGAACGTACCACATCACCCAGTACATCGCCGCGGTATACAGCAAAAAAATGACATGACACATTTTGATTCGCCTCCGGACAGATCATACGCAGGGGCGGATCCAGCTTCTTTTTTTAGGGTGAGCAAAAAAAAAATTTGTGATAAAATTAGGGCAAAAAAAAATTTTTTTTTTTTGGGGGGGGGGAGCAAAATGCCCAAAATATTCTAAAATATCCCCTCTAAATATTTAAATGCCCACCCTGAGTCCTTGATGGATCTGCCTATGATCATACGGTTTGCAAGTGAAGCTTTAAAGTTAATGTGCATTGAAGTATTGGACTACATATAATTGTTAATTTAACTATAAAAGAACACTGATTAAGTTTTTTTTTAGTTATTACCATTACTGTGATGAAGATTTTGTTTGGGACAACTTTTTTATTGCTTTCTAAAATAAATTTTTATTACAAAAAATTTTAGTTCATAAAATTTTCATATTAAAAAGCTACTTTATAAGAAAACAAAGCTTAAGATTTGCTTATGAACAACTTAAAAGGCTCTTCCTTGAAAATGAAGATGCAACTGCATTGATGTTGATGTTGATATTATGTGCAATATATAATAATTAGTTGACATCTACTTCATGAATCTCATTTTTCAATCATACCGATTGAATAATATATAGGGTGTTAGATTATTTTATATAAATCTTTTGAATAATTTTATTCATTTTATTATTTTCTTATCTTTTGGAGAAATTTAGTTTTATAAGTCTCAAAACTATTACAGTCTAGTAATAGAAAAAATTAGATAAATAGGTTATTGTTTGTTTCTTAGGTAAGTTTATACAAAAGTTCTTTTCGGATAAAAAAATTCCGATTATGATCACGAACTATTTATTTAATGTCTGCCTCGATCGATCCAATTCAGACAAGATTGAAACAAGCTTGGAATAGTTATGACACAACAAATTATAAGATAGGTATAATAAAGTGTAAACCAACAACTATAGCACATCAACATTTCAAGATTTACATCACTACACAATCAAGGAGTGTCATTGTTTTAAGAATTATAATAAATCTAAGCATTCATAATATTCTAACAATAACACGAATATTAAAGTAAAAAAAATATTATGAAGGTTTTAGGCACATGGTATTACAAGGAACTCACTGATGATCTCAAAATCCACATCGACTGCATCTATATCGTATCATATCCTTCTACTCTTTTAAAACCCTTCAATTTTTCTTTGACAATCACACTCTTTTGGCTTTAAGAATGGGTGCAACATGATAACTCCTTTTTATTTCACCAAGAACTACTTCCCTTGTGACTTTATTTAATAGAGAGTTATAATCCTAAAGATGAGTTTGATTGAAAATTTTTTGCTTTTTATCAAAGGTGACATCTTTTAAAATAATATTTTACTCCCGAAGCAGGCCAAGCCATTTGGCCATTTCCGAGGCAGGCCAGGCCAGACCAGGCCAGACGGCGTCCAGTGGCCAGTTCCGCTACGCGGGTCGGGTCGGGTTGACCCAAACCCAAAGCGGGTCGGATTCGGGTCCAAAAAACTGACCCGTTTGCAAAACCAGGTCGGGTCAACCCGAACCCGAATAATACCGGATCAGTTTCGCGTTCGGGTCAACCCGACCCATAACCCGAAATTGACAGGTCTAAATACTTATACCTTTTTTGGGTGAATGAATGTTCAATAAAGTAATATTTGAGAGCTTTAAGAATCAAATTTACCCATATGTTATTCGTGAATGTGGGTATAGGTAGCGCACCCAAAGATTTTTGAAGAAATTTTTAAGAGAAAGTTATTCGTGTGAAAGAATCCAGTCAAATAATTTAGAGAACTTTTAAAGCCAACTTTTATTGACGTTCTATTGATTAGATAATGTAGATTTTAGGATTGTTTCTTTCCAATATCTTTTTACCATTTGATTCTAGAAGAGAAAAGTTCTCATGATTTCAAAATATGATGATTTTTTTTTCTTTCTGCCACTCCATTTGTTGGAGATTATAATGAGAATAGATTTGATAGATAATACATTCTTTATGGAGGAAATATGCAAACAATTTCTATTGATTTTCTTTGCTTAAGATTTGAAAACAAATTTGATCGAAATCATCATTAAGTTATACAAGAAACTCAAACACATTTTTTCTTGTTACAATTTGCTTGAAAATTTTCACATAATTGCAGCATGTCATCCTAAAATCTTGATAATAATCTAATTCAAGCCAATAAATCTTTATCGATTGAAGTACTCAATAATAAGAATGTTATATTGTGAGAAAGTAGAGAATAGAAAAAACTATTTTGAATTTTATTGCATGAAAAAAATATAAAGTATGGAAGTATATATAAACTTTTTTAAAAATCTTATAATTAAAATAAATCAAAGCCATTTACAAAATGAAAAATAAAAACCCCATTATTTATATTATCAATTAATCGGTATTATATCGATTATATACACATTATTTATATTATCAATTATATTAAAAAAAAGTCAGAGACTAAAGTGGTAAAAAAGTAATGAATGCACCCAATTATTTTGGAATTTAATTCATCTAAATTTATCTATTTTCAAAGTAGCAGGTATTATCTGATTCCAAATAAATCCGTTTCAATTCAAATTAAAATTCGATATAATATTTTGGGAGTTTTGTGCTTCAATTTAAGCAACTAAGGCAACAAAGAAACCCTATCATATCAATTTTCTTTTTCTAGGGAGTGGGGTCGGATAAATTTCAGCATGAAATAAATACTGCAAATTTTTCATTTCAAATTAATGCTTCATTTGAAACGGTTTTTTTATTACTTCTTAAAGCAGTTTGTTCGTACAAAAATTAAATTTTTGTACTAAAAAATTGCTTTAAGATCAATAAAAAAACCTTTCCAAATGAAGCCTAAATTAGCTGAAAATAAGCCGACCTCCTGATGGTTGGATAAGTTCATGATAATGAAGATACAATAAATCTTTAATGTGAAGAATAACAAGGACTTCCTTAAATAGAAAAATTTTCAAGAAACACAGCTAATTTATAACATGAATACTATTTTCTTGATAAGAAAACAATATCGGATACATTACTTGTGTAATAATCTGGATAGATATTGTTCGATGAATCCTTGAGTTCTGATAAAGTTGTCACACCTGCAAAACCAATTGCATTGGAGAAAAGAGAGTTTTTCTAATTTCTTCTATTTATTTATAGGCAGATCATGTTGCAAACCTGAAAGAACGAGCAAAGTCTTGCAACCAGCATTTTTCCCAAAAAGTATATCGGTGTCCAGCCTATCTCCAACCATGCACATCTTGGAAGTATCAATCTGGTATCTGTTGACCCTCACAATTAAAAAAGAGATTTTGTTCAGTTTAGGACACAACTGCCAATCAGACAAGCTTCGGTTGGATCGGCTTTCTTACTACTTAAAATGATTTTTTTGCTAAAAAACTGTTTTAGAAAGCAATTAAAAAGCTGTCTCAAATGAAGCCTAAAAGAGTTAAAAGATTGCAGGTATTTTTACAATCGCACATCCTCTATAGACTCTGCAAAATATATGGAATTATCCATTATATACTGATGTAGGTATCGGTGGAGGAACTAGAGAGCCAACACAGGGAAGAACAAGAACAAGGAACCGAAATTGGTTCTATAGAAAATTGTATATTTCTTTCTATCTGTAACCTTTCCTGTATACAACTATATATGCTATCTGCAAAGTGCTGATAATAGAAATAACTAACTAAAGCAACTTTTAGTATGGCTTCAAGAAAAAAGGAAATATGGTCGTGGAAACTAACCGAGTGCAGTAATAAAAGTAAAGTAATAATACTAAAGCATATTATAAGGTAAAGTGTTCCCTTATCTTAGGATGAGCCTCATCAGCTGTCCCCCGCCGTTGGAAATTCTGCTGTCTCAGCAGAATCGATAATGGGAGCATCATCAGCTGGGAAGTATGGATAAATATCCGCAACGTTGAAGGTAGCCGCTGTGCCCAAGTCAGATGGTAGATCAATGACATAAGCATTGTCATTTATCTTCTTCAAGATAGGATAAGGGCCCATTTTCCGGCGACCCAATTTCGAATAAGCTCCATGAGGTAGCCGCTCGCGGCGTATACGAACCATAACCAATTCTCCCGGTTTAAAAATTCTTTCCCGCCGATGACAATCCGCTGCAGCCTTGTACTGTTCATTGGAGGCAATGAGCTTTTGGCGGATATCAGTTAGCATAGAAGTGAATTGATCAACAACTTGGGCCGCATTACGGCTGCTGCACTTGGGTAGCACCGCCACATCAACAGTATGATTGGGAGCTTTAGTATATACAATATGGAATGGTGAGAAACCCGTCGACCTGTTTGACATACTGTTATACGCAAATTCTGCTTGGCTTAGAACATCATCCCAAAGCCTCGGCTGCTCTTGAACTAGACACCTCAACATATTGCCTAGAGTACGGTTGACCACTTCGGTCTGGCCATCCGTTTGCGGATGATAAGCAGAGCTCAAATTAATGTCAGTTTTAAGGCGTTTCCACAGCTCGCGCCAAAAATGACTAACAAATTTAACATCGCGATCGGATGTCAAACTACGCGGGATGCCATGTAAACGAATAATTTCATTGAAAAATAAACGAGCAATGTTAAGAGCATCAAAGGTTTTCTTGCACGCTATGAAATGTGCCATTTTAGAAAATCTGTCTACCACTACCATGATAGAGTCATTACCTCGCTTCGTTCGTGGCAACCCGAGAATAAAATCCAAACTGAGATCCTCCCATATTGTATTTGGCACAGGCAGCGGCAAATATAAACCGGTGTTCTGTCCATTACCTTTATAGGATTGACAAATCGAGCATCGTTCAATGAATTTTGATACATCCCGCCGCAGATGCGGCCAGAAGAATCTGACCTGCAGCTGTTCGATAGTTTTGTTGCGGCCAACATGAGCAGCTAAGCCTCCACAGTGTATTTCACGAATCAACTGTTGCCTCCAGGAAGAGTCCGGTACACACAGAGCATTTAATTTGAACAGAAATCCATGGCGTATGGCATAATCGCCTGCAGTAAGTTGCTCTACACAATCTGCCCATATCTTCATAAAATCCTTGTCGGTTGCATACAGGTCTTTCAAACATTGGAGCCCAGTAATTTCAGTTTGCAGCTGCAGTAAAAGAGTGGATTGCCGGCTCAACGCGTCAGCTACCCTGTTTTGTGCACCTGATTTGTGCTTAAAAACAAATGTGAACCGCTGAAGATATAAAATCCAACGAGCATGCATACGGTTAAGTGTTTTTTGGCTGTTGATATACTGTAAGGCCTTATGATCGCTGTGGAGAACGAAATCTTGGTGTAATAAATACTGCTCCCACTGTTTGAGCGCACGCACTACAGCATAAAGTTCTTGCTCATACACGCTCCATTTTTGGCGCGCCGGGCATAGCTTCTCACTAAAGTACTCGACAGGCCTTTCACATTGCATCAACACCGCGCCAATTCCCACAGACGACGCGTCAGTTTCAACAGTGAATGGTTTCTCAAAATCAGGTAATGTGAGTACAGGGGCTGTTGCTAGTGCAGTTTTGATTGCTTCAAAACTGGATTGCTGAGTTTCTGTCCAGAGAAATTGCTTACCCTTCAAACAGTCAGTTAAAGGAGCCGCTAGTATACTGAAGCCTCGTATAAAACGTCGATAAAAATTTGCGAGTCCATGAAAACTTCGCACATCGAAAAACGATGTTGGAGTTTGACAATCAGTGATTGCCCTCACTTTCTTCGGATCCACCCTCATCCCATCAGCCGAGATAATAAAACCAAGGAAATAAGCATTTTCTGTAGCAAACTCACACTTGGACAAATTCAGATAAAGTTTGTTTTCCTGAAGCACTACAAAAATCTGGTGAAGGTGTTGTCAATGCTCGGATTGAGTTTTGCTGAAGATTAAAATATCATCAAAGTAAACAACGCAGAATTTATTCAGAAAGGGTTTCAAAATCTCATTCATGAGCCTCATAAATGTGGCCGGTGCATTGCAGAGCCCGAAGGGCATAACCTTCCACTCATAAAGTCCTTGACGAGTCTTGAAGGCTGTCTTCCATTCGTCTCCGGGTCGGATACGAATTTGATGGTACCCACTGCGTAAATCAAGCTTAGAGAATACAATGGATCCTACCAGTCTTTCGAGCAACTCTTCAAGTCGAGGAATGGGAAATCGGAACTTAACTGTAATTTTGTTGATAGCTCTGCTATCCATACACATCCGCCACGTCCCATCTTTCTTCGGCACCAACAGTGCGGGCACGGCACACGGGCTCAAACTCGGCTGAATAAGTTGTTTTTCTAATAGTTCATCCACCAGTTGTTGCAATATTAGGTGATCTTTCGGGCTTAACCTGTAGTGTGGCAGGTTGGGCAGATTAGCCCCTGGGATCAGATCAACTTGGTGTTGCAGTGCACGGAGCGGAGGAAGGGTTGCTGGCAATGTTTCGGGTCCAATGTCAGGGAATTGTTTGAGTAACTGCTGAACTTCGGGGTGTGAAATTCCCTCTCCTTGGCCTCGGCTTGCTTCCTTGACAACTAGTGCAAATAATGCAGAACTTTCCCTGCTGGCATGGAGGATAGCTGAACCCGAGATCAAGTTAAGAGCAGATACTTTACTCTTAAGTGGATCAAGTTCCCCGGTAATCTGTGGAAGAAGTTTGAGCTGCCTTCCCTTCCATTCAAATGAATATGAGTTGGATCTGCCATCATATATAGCGCCCACATCGTACTGCCACGGCCGCCCCAGAATGATATGGCATACATCCATATCTAACACATCACATAATACTTCGCAAATGTATTGTTTCCCTATAGAAAAAGTGACCCGACACATATCGGAGACCAGGATATCCATCCCTTTCTTTACCCAACTAATTTTATAAGGATGAGAACTTTTGGAGGTCTTGAGTTGAAGTGCTTGCACCACCGATCTTGCGATGACATTTTCAGTACATCCACTATCAATTAATAAATCACAGACCTTACCATTAATTGTGCAACGGGTCTTAAAAACGGAATTCCGTTGGGAATTCAGAGTCTGTCGTGGGGCTAGCAATATTTTCTCCATGACACACACCAAAGGTTCGCCCGAATCAGGAGTAATTTCTTCTTCTGGCTCCAAATCGTGCTCATCTTCTTCGCCTTGTATCTCCTCATTGTCAGCAGTGGTTAGTTGCAGCTGCGGCCTACTTGGGCACTCATTCGATTTATGGCCAACCTGAAAACATCTAAAACACTTGATGGTGCTTGGCCTGGCATACGGATTGTCTCGAACAGGTTGTCTCCACTTTGGTTGCGACTTCGGGTCATTAACCACCCCTTGTGCAGAATTCGGTACAGGAGCTGTAGGGGCTTCATTGGGGCTAGGAGGTTTCACTGCAGACTTGCTCGGAAGGTAATTGTGCTTGGTCTGGTCTTGCGGATGCTCAAAAGTTTGTCGGCGACCAGCAAACTGCTTGCTCCCCCTAGACAACTGGAGCTCTGCCTTCAACGCATAATTAACCGCCTGTGAAAGAGACCAGACGGAATTCATTTCCAATTTATCCTGAATAGCTTCTCTGAGTCCGCCAATGTACCGAGCAACCAGGTGATTAGCACTCTCATTCAGGTCGTTACGTGCACTAAGTCGGTGAAATTCTTCTGTATACTCACTAACAGATCTATTGCCTTGCGAACAATGCTGATACTTGTGGTATAAGATCTGTTCATAATATGTAGGTAAGTATTGACTGCGAAGGAGCTGCTTCATCCTCTGCCAATTTCGGACTGCACCACGACCCTCCCGTCGTCGTGCTTGTAAGAGCTGCATCCACCACGCACTAGCACCTCCTTTCAGTCGGCACGCCACATACTTCACCTGCTTGTCCGGCGGAATTTCCATGTATTCAAAGAAGGTTTCTACCGACCTTTCCCAGTCCAGATAATCTTCAATGTGCAGTCGGCCATCAAAGAAGGGAATATCGAGCTTTACTCGAAAATCACCGTGCGGACGGCCGTAAGGCGTTCCCCGACGTCTCCGATTGTAATGTGTCGGTAATTGGTCTTCTCCTGATTCAGACGAATATTCAGCATTCAACTGCTCCGAACCTCCGTCATCTGAATCAGTTATCACTGGAACCACTGGTTCCCGCCGACGCCCTTGATGGCGTCCCCTATCTCGCCCCCCGGGTGGCAATGTGGGTTGTGCCGCATTGCCACGATTGGGATGAGTTCCATACAGCTCCGCCCGAATAGCTTGGAACTCTCTCCGCATATCCATTGATAACCGGCGTAGATCAGTACTTAGCTCATCTAACCTCTGATCAAGATTACCATGGAGTTCCCAAAGGGATTCAAGGCTGCGAACGTCGTCGCCAGCCCCTCGCCTGCTGCTTTCCGCCATTACCCCCAAGCACCGAGCTCTGATACCAAATCTGATGTAGGTATCGGTGGAGGAACTAGAGAGCCAACACAGGGAAGAACAAGAACAAGGAACCGAAATTGGTTCTATAGAAAATTGTATATTTCTTTCTATCTGTAACCTTTCCTGTATACAACTATATATGCTATCTGCAAAGTGCTGATAATAGAAATAACTAACTAAAGCAACTTTTAGTATGGCTTCAAGAAAAAAGGAAATATGGTCGTGGAAACTAACCGAGTGCAGTAATAAAAGTAAAGTAATAATACTAAAGCATATTATAAGGTAAAGTGTTCCCTTATCTTAGGATGAGCCTCATCATATACGCTAATCAATCCAATTTTCTAGCAGACAATGGCTATAAATCGAATTTCGATCAATATTTCATATATGAAAGCACCAAAACTTTACCAAGATTTAATCATGGAAATGATTAATAACAAATTTGAGAGCTTCAACATAAAATATACTATACACAACTTGCTAACCCACACTGATACAGATTGGAATCATGATTCTCTTAAAAAGATTTAGCTCAAGTTGATGCAAATAGACCCCCCCCCCCTGCATCTGCAAAGAGGCTAACCTGTGATCTCCCATATCACAATGGAAGTAATCAATCTAATTGCTCTTTGCATGTCCTCCAATAACAAAAAGAATTATGACTGCAAAGTTACAGCACCTAATCAAAGCATACAGAATTTTCTATTGGAACTTTAGAATGTTTGGCAGAATTTGATATACAGGTTCAGGTTTTTACAATAGAGGCTCCAATTGGTGGCCAACACTGCAATTTTAAATCCATGATAAAGAAATAGTTTTTTGATTGATTTATAACTTGTTCAACAATAGTATTCAACTGATTTCTTTCACTTAATACATTTTTTACTAACTATAGAGACCTACAATTAGTGCCACATAGTTAAACACTAGCAAGAAGTTAATTACAGTTATATTGTATTTCATACCTCTCCAATAAAAAGTCCATCAAAAAAGTTGATGGCTTTCCAACAACAACAGGCTCCTTTTGTACTGATCCTCGTACAGCAGCTACCATACACCCTGCACCTACAGTCCTAAACGAAGTAATAAAATGAACCTGAAAACTCATTTAAAAAAAAACTGAATAGAATTTTTTTATCCAAGAAGAACCTGGCCATTCCTGTAGGTCTGTGAGATGACCAACAGCATCACAATTGGTAGCTATGAAAAGGCATCCGGGATTCTCACGAATACAAAGAGTTGCATACCTATAAGACAAACCTCAAGATCTCAGCGAATCATGTAAAGCAATTAAGTTTAAAAAGGTCAATCCATTTCAAGTTGCAAGTAGGGTGGCATGTATTCATTTGCAAGGGTAACATCTTAAGAAAAATCATGAAACCATTATATATGGATATGCCTACTAAAGAAGAATGAACCTCCAAGACCCAAGGGTCCCTTTTTGGTTCAATGCTATTGATTAATAGTTTTACAGAAAAATCAATAGCATCTCATATAAAATATGTTAATCATGGCAAATTACTACGTGCAGCGCCCGGATTCATCCGGAGGTTTTCCGGACATGCCACGTCACCCCGACCCCAATGCATTCGGATGACGTGGCGCGTCCGGATTCGCCTCCGGACGATCCGGACGCCGCACGTAATAATTTGTCGTTAATCACACACAAACACAAGAATGATGTCAGCAAGAGCAGCAAGTCACAGGCAGAAGCTAGTGGTCACAGCATGCTACAAGCAGTGCCGAGTGGATGCAGGATAAGAGGAACTGAGTTGGCTCTAAGGTAACACAGACGAGGAAGAGCAGGCTGGAGGACTAAGAGGATAATTAGGTGAGAAGCTCATAATCGCGTGAGAATCACATCTAGATGAAGATCTTAGCTTCACACTAATAAATCTTTTGGCATCACCTCGAGAAGAGATAATTGGCATCACCAAATCTTTATTCCATTCACCCATTCATTCATTAAGATGTGGTTATTAAACTTATATAAAACCTAAGCATGAACCACAATACGTGTTCCAGCAATATTTGGTCAAGTGAGGGGGGTTGATGCGCAATATAGGGTCAAGCAAGAGGCTACTATGCGCAGCTTTAACACCAGCAACCAAAATCAACATTTATAAAAGTCGCCTTTGATAGATAAAATAAAATAAACAAAATTTATACCAAAATATTTATTTCAGGATTGATGCTACCTAATTATCAAGATGATGAACTAACATGAATTATAGAAAAACTTGTATATTTTATTTCGACATGAATAGAATTTATGTAATCTTAGGTGAGCTTCCAATAAAAAATATATAAAATCAAGAAATAATCAAAGTAACTATAAGCAATTAGTGAGTTGGCCACAGGGATCCCACAGATCCATGAGGTAGCTATGAAAGCAAAGAATAGAACAGAAGTTAAAGAGTTACTTTCACAACTCCCAAAAACTTATGAGTTAACCACAAGGATCTTATGAATCTACGAGGTGGCGGCATAAAGGAAAGAATAGAGCAAAGGTCCTAAAGTGAATGAATGGATTCATGCCATTCTAAGTTTCCCCACTAACTTTTGAAAGACTGCCCTAATAATTGTTTGGTAAGTATGTTCGCAAGTTGTTCATCTATGATTTAGAACAAAGCATAGATTGGACAACTATTGAATTTCTTTATAAAATGTTATCTATTTCAATTTGTTGTATACGGTCATGTTGCATAGAATTATACACAATACTAATGTCTAAGTTGTTATCATGATAGAACCTAATAGAGTCTTTGCATTTAAACTTTAATCATGAAATATTTGTTTCTAGATTTTATTTTTCAATTTCTCCAAATTATGAGGTTGCCTCCAAAAAATCTGCAATATCTTTAAATTAATCTTTTGCCAACCATAAAAATTGCATAATACTTATCAATGAAAGCCTCAAGGGTCAGATCCCCTTTTTTTTAATAGAATTCCGTTATAAAAGATTCCCTTCAAATATTGTACAATTCCATATATTGTTGTAAGATGCAATTCTTTAGGACTTTGGATGAATTGACATTCTTTAGGACTGTACATGAATTGACTCACAATACTGGCTGTGCAAACAATGTCGACTCAAATATATAATATAAGTAGATATGTTTTCTCACAATTTTTTTATATTTTTAGTAATATTTCAAATGAATAATTTGTTAGTGGCTCTTCAGTATTTGTGAAATGTTAGTCATTACTAGTATGTGTAATTGTAAAAAAATGTATTAACCGTCCAACTATCCAGTCCCGTCTCATTAATTCGAGTATCCGGGTTGAGTCGTGACACATATTGACAGTTAATGATAAAAGTATTCTTCATTGAAAGTAACATTAGTGGCCACACTAATGAGTTATTTGCTTGAGGAGGGATCCTTGGTTTGCTCCGCAGAGGGAGAGCTCCTTGGTGAGCCTAGGCAAGTGGTGTTTGCTGATCACACTCGGTGAGTTACCTGCGAGTTCCATCAGTGGGCCCCCTTGAGGGCAAGTTCCTCTCCATAACCTGCCAACCACCTATTAGATACTTGTGAAGGCATATGTGGGTATGCACACAAATTTTCTAAATTGATAATTTTGCATTGATTATTACAATACTCCAATAGGAATTACCCTAAAGTTTATCTATGCCCACGTATAAGTAGCTGTGTAAGTTCCACCACAATGAAACAACTTCGAAGAAAGGAAAATAAAAGTCTTACTGGAGTTTGTAATAGTTTATGTACTGATCAAGTCCAACTATGACCGCTCCAACCTGGAAAAAGGAATTTCTTTGTCAACATTTAGCTAGTTTACAAAACCTTTTTGGTCATAAGAGCAGCTTGAAAAGAACCATTAATCTGGAAGTTACATTTTTATCATGCTGAAAAAGGAAGTTTGATTTGAGTTGAATGGTTTTTTTTCCATCATCCTGCAACAAAGTTTGTCATCATTAAAAAGCTGAAAAATAAAAATAACAACTTAAAAAAGATTAGTACACTGGATATCATATATTCGTTTATTTTTGCACAAAAGTCAATGCTCTTCATTCCATATGTATAGATTCAGAAGCATTCCCAATTTTCTCAAATTTTATGAAGTGAGATCTATTAAGCTAATTTCACAGAATTTAAAAAAAGGGGTTATTTTATCCCTAACCGGTCCACCTATGCCTGTAAAACCAGCAAGCTCAAGTTCTTCCAATATCCCCTCTTCACCAACTACGTAAACCTGAATACAAAAAAGTCTCATCAGTGAATATAGTCAGTAATAATAGTATATGCAGCAGGCAGATTTTGGCAGCCATACTTTTAAAAAATTTTAGAAAGATATAAAGTTAAAAACTAAAAATAAATAAAATAAAAACTTGCACTGTGACAAAGGAAACACGCATCTGCAGTTGGCCGTTTGGTCTAGTAGGATTCAGTAACTCCCACTTTCATAAGCCTAAAATTTGAATTTAATAAAGCATGCCGTTGTTGAATCCTAAAATTAGGACGTTAATGCCCTTAATTCAAGTTAGCTCTGAAGATTCGTTTGGATGCAAGTAATCGCATTAGCAGAATTAAAGGTTTACAAAAATATCATATATACAGGAGAATTTTAGCTAGTGGACAATAGATATCCTTCACAAAAAGGCTTCCAAAATCCTTAACAAAATTATAATGTGTCATTTACTCAATTTGGTAAGGGCTAGAAATGTACAATGTATACTCCAAGAGGTTTTCAATCAAAGCCACTTATCACTAGGGGCTGTCATTGACAGGCAGCTCAACAATATAGAAAAAGACATGGGTGACACTGAGGGGCATGCTGAAATTTTCTTTTGAGAAGCAATGATTTAAGAGTTATTGCTATGATGACATTATAAAATTTTATTAAAAAACATCTGTTTTGGCTGTACCTTGAATTTGGGAACTGTGATGAGCATGAAACTTATGGTTACCCTAAAGCATATAAGCACACATTGGCCGACACATTTCCAATTTGGATGATTTAGATGACAATAATGATGAGTATATTGTTGATGGAGAGAACGAAATAGAGATGGAAATTTGTGCAAAATTATAATGAATCAATTGATACATGAAAAATTCCAAATAGTTATTAATTAGCTACTCTTTGAGCATATAATTTGTAACATTTATTTACCAATTATGATTAATATTATTCCAACAAGCTCTAGTTGAAACAATATGCTCCTTGACTCCTAGGGTTGTGCCATAGGTTTCAGTCAAGTCTGCATGATGCTTTCACTGAATATTCAGAGGTTCCTTCATGGTATTCAGTTTATTCTTGGCCTAGTGCCATTTTTTTCTATCTAGCCTCATGCCATTCTTATCTAAAATTGAAATTATGCCTTCAATAAAATAAAAACTCTATCACATGAGGCAATATCTTGTCTTTGTCGATTGACAAAATGAAGCTTATACAATTTGAGAGGAATGCAATACATACCATTCAAGTGTTGTCAATTATGTAAGCAATGGTGGTGAGGATATCAATAATATGATGGTCAAGAGGGAAATCGGGTTCATCCATAGTATTACGTTGTGTGCTTTCTGTGGGTTATGTTATTGAAAATTTATTCATAACTTTTATTATGTATAATAAATTGTTAATGGTTGTGAAAATTTATGTATTGCCATATTTCTCATCTAGTTATGATCGTGGTCATTTTAGTCTTTTTTGGCTTTTCACAGCACATAAAACATTACAACCAAACATGCACGGTATTTCGTGGTGCCATTTGGCGGCAAAACCACTCGGTTCAAAGGGCCCCGGGTCATAACCGTTTATCCTGCGGTGCCATTTGATGGCAAAACTGTCGGTTAGAGGACACGTACCACGTCCTTTATTGGCAGGAGATTGTTTGAGAATGGATCCTAGTGATATTTTCGACTAGGCATTTAGCTCAATGTGAGCTGAAGTAGTTTTTAGCTTGTCCACCCTGACAAATTATTACGGATGGTGGATGAATTTTGCCTTAAGTGTTTTGATGATTGGTTTCAAATTTAAATATCTTAGAGCTTGATGATTTTTCGAATTCTTGTGGAATTTGGATTTTGTAGAAATTTTATGACATTCTGAAATATCTGAGAGATTAACCCCTCCGGTTGAGATTCACATTCTACACGGCCATCATCGGGGTGTGGGGTCATTTTCATTTGTAGTTTGAATCTTGTCAACTCTGTCTGGAAGTCGACAGAGGATCGGGTTTCGTAGGCTTTACGCCTTTGTGAGTGAATTTTATTGATTATAAGCCTTGAAGGCCTAATATGAATGTATTAAAATAAATACGCCGGTCCCCACAACCATGTATTTATTTGATGGTCTGAACTCTGTCGACTTCTATTGATCCGTATAGAAGGATCGGATCGGACTTGAATTCACTTGTTGACCCACGCAGCATCCCTAGGCGTCACGTGTGTACCAATAACACGCTCGCCAGGGCCAATGCGGGTGTTGATTGTATACCCTCTTTTAGTGTACCTAAGTGTGTACAAACTACAGTGTATGTGCGAGGGTATTTTAGAATATTCGTGGAACGCCTTCTGTCCGCTTGTATAGAAGTTGCGGATCCGGTGGCGTGTTGTAGCAGTTTTTGAATTGACTTGTTCGCTGCTTTATACAGGTAGACTGTCGTGCACTATTTACTTTTTGTAGGTGGATCGTAGTGCACTAACTAATCTCTTGCCTTGCTCGTAGGCGACAAACTTTCCAATGGTGATATGCCTACTTTAATTAAGGGTCGTACAACCCGTGACACATAAGAGTGCGCTATTTTGTCTCTTTTTGAAGACATATGTTCACGGGTTGTACGAGCCGCCTAACTTTAACAGCTGACGCGCACGCTAGTTAGAGCACCCGTGACTTACAATGTGACGGACATTTTTTATCTTCTCACAAAGGTGTTCAATCAGAAAATTACTGGAGATGTGCAGGGATTCCTATGTGTTTATAATGAACACAAAAGCATTTGTAGGAAATGTAATTTTTTTTTACTCCTACTTTTACTTTTATTTTTACTTTTACTTTTATTTTTACCCCCTCCTTTTCTAACATAACTACCAACCGTATCCGGGTGTATTTACGCTCGTATTTACTTTCGTATTTCACCTGCTAGTGAATACTCTAGGAATCCAATGGCAGAGCCTCAGAATGGCATCTTAGGATCCTAAGTAGATGGAGCCCGCAGGTGTACCTTCTCCGTCCTTTCGTAAAGGATTCTAGGCTGGTGGAGCCCACAGGTGTACCTTCCTTGTCTTGTAGCAAAGGGATCCTAGGCTAGTGGGGCCCGCGAATAATTCAAACTCAATGTTATAAATAGGAGGGGGTTTCAACTCATTTCTTTCAATCCCATTTCTGTAAGGAGCTTTTAGTGAGGGACTTAGGTGTGTAAGTCAAGAGTTAGAAGGAAGAAGCTTGATTCCTACCTATTGGCGAACAACTAATTCCCTTAAAGACTCACTGTATGTTGCATTTCACATTGATTTATATTTCTTTTGTATTTGTTTTCCAGTGTCGGGAGCCTAGGGTGTCGTCTATTTTATTTTTTTGTTAACTTAAAACTTTTAAGTGGATTTTAGATCTTTTTAAAAATTTTCAAAGTTATAGGTTTTGCTGAAAATTTTGGTAGCACTCCGACGTCGTCCCCGCGTAGAGGGCTGCATCGGAGTGTGTAAGGCTTTCCCGCCTGTCAAGAAAGACAGTCACGGTAGGTGTCCAATCTCCGCTCGCTAACAAAAGCTGTCACGGGGTCTTTGAGCACATATTTAAAATATAGCATTTTCCCCGTCTAAAAACAGTGACGGGTACTTAATTAAACAATTTTTCTATAAATAACAAATTTCCCCGCCCGCTAAAAAAAGCGGTCATGGGTACTTAAGTTTCATGGCTTACTAAACTTTTTAATACTATTTTGAAGACTAAGAAGATGCCAGATGAGTGGAGAATGAGTGTGTTAATTCCTATTTTTAAGAATAAAGGTGATGTACTAGAAGATCTAAGTGTGGATGTCTTACAGCTAGAAGATCTAAGTGTGGATGTCTTGAGGGGCGAAGCAGATCAAGTTGGCACATCCACTAGTACCACACCACACACATCCACTAGCTCTGCAGCACAACAATCAAGTAAAAGTATTCCACAACTTCTTATATGATATAGCATTATATTTATATCAAGTGAGCAATTAACATGATAATGATCTTTTCTCTTATTGAATAGGAAAGAGAAAAGTGAGTCATATTGAAGATGATGATGATATGACATTCATAGATACAATTGAAGAAGAATATTCCCTTGAAGACCTATTTAGTGATGGGATATGATTGCATTTTCTGTTCTTTATAATTTCGGAGTTTTGTTGAACTAATATTTTGTGATTTTGTACTTTGAGACATATTTTATTACATCTATTTTGTTATAAGATGGTAGTGAGGCCTGCAATGCTTTATGGTGCCGAATATTGGCCTTTAAAAGAGAAGCATAATACTAAGTTAAGTGTGGCAGAGATGAGGATGCTCAGGTGGATGAGTGGCTTTACCCTTAGAGATAGGATACGAATGAGCATATACGTGAAAAGGTTGGAGTAGCTCTAGTAGAAGATAAGATTAGAGAAAGTTGCCTTAGATGGTTTGGTCACATAAAATAGCGGCCTTCTGATGACCTGGTTAGGAGAGTAGAGGTATTAGATTTGACTTTTGTTAAGAAAGGTAGGGGTAGACCTAAAAAGACTTGGTTAGAAAATATTAGGAATGACCTTTCTTTATTAGATTTAAACGAGAATTTGACTTTTAATAGGACACAATGGAGAAAAAGGATTCATGTAGCCGACCCCACGTAGTGGGATAAAGGCTTGATGTTGTTGTTGTTGTTGTTGTTGGGTACTTAAGTTTCATGCATACGAATTTCCCTGCTCGCTCAGAGCGTCGCGGGTACTTAAGTTTCCTTTTCCGTTAAAAAAAGCGGTCACGAGTACTTATTTCATGCATAGAAATGTAAAATACTAGTGTCGGGATTTTTACCTTAGGCGTGCAGTAATCGAGACGGCGATGACGGATGGCGGCGACAGTGAGAAACCTGCGATGCACAATTAAAATTTTTTTTAAAATATTTGTGCAATTTAATTAAACATTTATGCTTTTCTTTTATTTAAAACAAAGTGTAGAGAAAGAAAGAAAAAGAAAAAAAAAAAAAGAAAAAAAAAAAGGAAGAGAGCTCCCTTTCTA